CTGCAATATTGCGACGTGTCTGCCCCGTGATAAGTTCAAGGTCACTTAACACACGCCGTAATTCTCTCTCTTTTTTCCCTCCAAAATCGAAAGGCCCTAAACCTGCAAACTGGGTTTCCAATTAAGAGGAATTAATCCACTTGCAGAAGAGAACAAAAATTTCTGCTCATCAACATCCATCATCATTAACCACATCATCAACCACTGTCTCGTTCATCACCATCAGCCAATGTCTTACCCACTGTTGAGTGTCAGGTCATTGGAGGTTGTTTGACAAACAGTACAACCTTTCTACATCACTGCATGCTAAATTGATGTACAGTGAGGGAAAAAAGTATTTGATCCCCTGCTGATTTGTACGTTTGCCCACTGACAAAGAAATGATCCGTCTATAATTTTAATGGTAGGTTTGTTTGAACAGTGAAAGACAGAATAACAACAAAAAAATGCAGAAAACGCATGCCAAAAAGTGTTATAAATTGATGTGCATTTTAATGAGGGAAATAAGTATTTGACCCCTCTGCAAAACATGACTTAGTACTTGGTGGCAAAACCCTTGTTGGCAATCACAGAGGTCAGACGTTTCTTGTAGTTGGCCACCAGGTTTGCACACATCTCAGGAGGGATTTTGTCCCACTCCTCTTTGCAGATCTTCTCCAAGTCATTAAGGTTTCGAGGCTGACGTTTGGCAACTCGAACCTTCAGCTCCCTCCACAGATTTTCTATGGGATTAAGGTCTGGAGACTGGCTAGGCCACTCCAGGACCTTAATGTGCTTCTTCTTGAGCCACTCCTTTGTTGCCTTGGCCGTGTGTTTTGGGTCATTGTCATGCTGGAATACCCATCCACGACCCATTTTCAATGCCCTAGCTGAGGGAAGGAGGTTCTCACCCAAGATTTGACGTAACATGGTCCTGTCCATCGTCCCTTTGATGCAGTGAAGTTGTTCTGTCCTTTTAGCAGAAAAACACCCCCAAAGCATAATGTTTCCACCTCCATGTTTGACGGTGGGGATGGTGTTCTTGGGGTCATAGGCAGCATTCCTCCTCCTCCAAACACGGCGAGTTGAGTTGATGCCAAAGAGCTCCATTTTGGTCTCATCTGACCACAACACTTTCACCCAGTTGTCCTCTGAATCAATCAGATGTTCATTGGCAAACTTCAGACGGGCATGTATATGTGCTTTCTTGAGCAGGGGGACCTTTCGGGTGCTGCAGGATATCAGTCCTTCACGGCGTAGTGTGTTACCAATTGTTTTCTTGGTGACTATGGTCCCAGCTGCCTTGAGATCATTGACAACATCCTCCCGTGTAGTTCTGGGCTGATTCCTCACCGTTCTCATGATCATTGCAACTCCACGAGGTGAGATCTTGCATGGAGCCCCAGGCCGAGGGAGATTGACAATTCTTTTGTGTTTCTTCCATTTGCGAATAATCGCACCAACTGTTGTCACCTTCACACCAAGCTGCTTGGTAATGGTCTTGTAGCCCATTCCAGCCTTGTGTAGGTCTACAATGTTGTCCCTGACATCCTTGGATAGCTCTTTGGTCTTGGCTATGGTGGAGAGTTTGGAATCTGATTGATTGATTGCTTCTGTGGATAGGTGCCTTTTATACAGGTAACAAGCTGAGATTAGGAGCACTCCCTTTAAGAGTGTGCTCCTAATCTCAGCTCGTTACCTGTATAAAATACACCTGGGAGCTAGAAATCTGATTGAGAGGGGGTCAAATACTTATTTCCCTCATTAAAATGCAAATCAATTCATAACATTTTTGACATGCGTTTTTCTGGATTTTTTTGTTGTTATTCTGTCTCTCACTGTTCAAATTAACCTACCATTAAAATTATAGACTGATCATTGCTTTTGTCTGTGGGCAAACGTACAAAATCAGCAGGGGATCAAATACTTTTTCCCCTCACTGTATATAATAAAATAATGGGTTTGCAATTCATTATACGGTATATGTATCTTTATCATAAACCCGATTCACCATGAAGCTTATACAGAATATATACCACTGGGTAGTATAAACACAATATAGTACTGTGCTGTTTCTAGCACTGCACTAGTACTCGACATGACTATCACCTGTGCCTCCTATTATCCGCCGGAGCTCAGTAGTATCCGAGAAAACTCCTCATATCCGCAACCCCTGATATTCTTAATATTACATTGTCCGGGTAAAAACATTCTCAGAGCACAATGCTGACAATGGGATCAACGATGTTCGTTCCCCACATCACAGCGAATAAGAAGAGTTAAAACGGAAGCAGTGCTTAAGCCATGACCAGTGGTCCTGAGTCAGTCAAGTCGGGGAAACTCCACATTCCTATGGCGGAAACTTTTGTTTTTCTCTCCATAGAACGAACATTACTGACTTACCCGTTCAACGCGTGGCAGGAATGATCTCAGCGTGAACGCTTCTGACATCGAAGCAGTTAAAACGGAAGCAGTGCTTTAGCAATGACCAGTGGTCCTGAGTCAGTCAAGTAGGGGATGGGACGTATCCCATTCCCTGCTGGGTGGGATGTGTAAAGCTCCGCGCATCTTTGCACGGGACGTGAAGGAGAAACAATCGCCAGCCGAGAGGCGCGCGCGCACTCAACTCTCATCCGGGAGTCGAACTCCCCTCTCCATCGTGATCTGCCCGGCGGCGTTTGTCAGCTCGGAGTGGTGTCATTCTCAAGTCTCTGTCACGCCGCAATAGCCCCCGCTCCCTGCACCCCCATCCACGTGCCGCGATCATTTCGTCGAGGATTTTTTTGTTCGGTTTTTTTTTAGCTTGACACGCGAACTTGATCTTGTTGAGAGTTCGCTATTCGCGCTGGGTAGGCTTTAGGCGTGCGGGCTATCGGCGAGGGGGATAACCCAACGCGCGGGGTTGGTGGAACACGAATGCTGTATTTAATAAGCTCGTCTTATGAACTCAAATCGTAGGGTAATTATTAGACGCACCCCCAACGTGTTTCGTTAATGCGGGGGGAGCTGGGATTTGGGGTGAGATTATATTTGTATAACCGCTGCGCTACGAACCCAGCGACCAGAGTTCGATTGCCACTCACGGCCAATACCCTGTGTGACGATTATCTGAACCGGTCCTGGGCCTCCCCTAGGTTGGCTCAGCCTCAAATGAGTACCCGGTGCAGTGTGTGAACATCGCCACTGGGGAGACAAAAGCGGCCGGGCATGGTGCTGGCCACCCACCGCCTCGTGTGCCGTTCTGGCTTTCAGAGGTGTTCGCGAACAGCACTTGCCCCTACATGCTACTAAAGGCAATACGGGGGATCTTTGTCTTTGTATAACATTAGACAAAGACATAAGTGTGGGATGAATCTCACTTTCCGGGGCGTCTTATACTCGGGTAAAGACGGGACAATTTAAGAACACTCGTTTGTGGCGATCAGAAGAGGAATCTTTATTCCGGAGAAATCCGATGAGCTTATGAAGCTCGTTTTCACAGATGTCCAGTAAGGTGTGGTCAGACCGATGTCATGGGGCAGCTCGGGTTCAGCAAGTCGCGTGCTCGTTGCATTGCTGGGGCCGTCCATAAATGACGTCACGCACCTAGGAGGGGGGGATCAGACATTTGTGACGATGTATGACGGGGGGGGGGGGGGTGAGAAATGTGACGTCACATCATAATGTGCAACTTTAAATAAATATAGACAACACGTTCTACTTAATTAAATAGACTTGTTAATAAATGTTTTCTCCTACAACATCAGAGTGCAGCGCCACATTAAATACGCACTGCAATGACAATAGTTTAAAGGGATTTGAAGCATGTTTTATATATATATTTTTTGGGGGGGCAGAGCTTTGTGACGTCATATTTGAAGGGGGGGGGTCTGACTTTTTGTGACGCCGTGTGAAGAGGGGGGGGGGGGGTCAAAAATCGTCCAAAATCGCGTGACGTCATTTATGGACGACCCCGAAGATCTGAATTGGTCTGTAATATGGTAGGCACTGATAACGGGTTGACAGGTATGTCGTTGACAGAGCTATCCTATGCGTGGATTTTCCCAACGCACCCCAGTTCCATCCCACACATACACACATAAATATGCAACAAACAATATATTAAACATCTCAAAGATCGTATTGAGACCAAGGATCACCATCTAAACACGGACGTTCCTTGAGGTCCGACAGAAGCAGTGCTGTCACTTCGAGTACTACAATAACGCAAATTAAATTAACCGTATTACTTTCTATAACACAGGCGTTAAGCTCGTTATTTGGCAGCCTAGGTGTATACGTAATGTGCGAGGCAAAGAGACACTGCATGTGTGTTTTTGTGTGTATTGGGTTATACCACCATTCCTTTACAATCATGAGATCCTCAATCGGATGTCTCGCAATGAATTGCTCATTTAATTCCACCGAGGAAGCGAGATGAACACGTGGATTAGAAAAGACACGCGGATTCATGAAGGGGCAACTCAAATTACCATTGCAATGGCACGGCTGGTTACGTACGGTGCGAAAGAAGTTCAACACACACGTAAATATTGTTACGACAAAGTAAATTGACCTTGGGCAGGCCACGTCACTGGAAGGGACGCTGATGATGATGATGGTCAAGAATAATAACCCGAGCGGGAAGACGAGACAGGGCAGGATCGCGTCCGAGCGAGGGTTTTTTTTTCATCCGCCGGGGAGACGGAGCGACGCGAAACCTCTGAATTCGTGTGCAAGGTGCTGGGCGCAGGAGTTTATTGCATCGCAGGATCGCCTTGGAGAGAGGCCTTCATCCAGCCGTCGACTGACCCGTGAATGCATCAATTGTTCTCGTCGAACTGGAGGATTTTAACCCACGGTGCTGGCAACACTCGCGATGATTATGGGCTGGGTGCGGACCGCATACCAACAACCAATAGCAGGCAATGGAGGGACGAGGGCGTGTGCTTTCTTTGTGATGACGTTCGCTGGAATCCCACCTCCTCCTCATCAACATCATCACCACCACCATCATCATCAACCCCCCTCCTGATGACTCCCGTGCTGCTCCTGGCGCCAACAAAGTTGCCGCTGCTGCTGCCGCCGCTGTGACCACCACCACCACCACCAACTTTACTTCCACTTGCACCTCCACTCTCAAACTTTTGACTCTATCCGTCCGTCAGGTCCGTCTTCCGCGGCCGAAAAAAGAAAACAAAAAGCGCACAAGTAAGAAGAGTGTTTGTGTCTTCATCTCATCCTCCATCCCGGCGTCTCATCATCTCCTTCCCGCCTCTCCTGTCGCCCCTCCATCCTCGTATGCCATCGTCTCGCCCACCCATCCTTACACCCCGCGTTCACTTTCGCGCACTTCGCTTTCTCTCGTTTGCCGTCGCTTGCGGTTGTTCAAGAAGTCTCACGGCGGCTTGGCGTTTATCTGCGGAGGAACAACTTTGTAGGGGTGGTGGGTGGCGTGGAAGTTGAGCACGGGTCGCTGTCGACCGCCAGTGGCAAGTTGTTGTCGTCGTCGTGCGCGCGACGACGTCGATCTGAGAATGTGAATATTTATTCCGGTAAAGTCACGGGGATAGGAAATAAAATAATGAAATAAAATTGTAAATAAAAATAATAATACATTGAAAGTAATAAAAGCAAAAAAAAACCCCCGCGACGTTTCGATCGCGACGCAAGCGGTCTTCATCAGGCGGAGAGAAAAACAAAAATTGTTGAATATTTATTTGCACAGGAGGAATCGGGCGAGCTACAAAGCCTCTTTTTTAACGGGTGTCTAGCCGGGTCTAAGTGGTTGTTGCTGCCACCTAGCCCTCTGTGTCGTGGACGTTAGTGACCCTAGGTCGTTTAGAAGACGTCTCCCCCCACCGAGAGGGAGATGGAGCGAACGATGTCACTGGGCTTGTGTACATCCAGCAGTGGATTTCACCGTGGCTAATGATGCCTTTTTGCCCTCCGAGTACAACAAAGTCTCACCTGGTTAAATAAAGCGGAGCTGTTGTTTGCACGTTACAGTGCGACCAAGAGGCGTATGGTGACCAGGATTAGGAGAACGCACGCAGAGTAAAGACATCTTAAAACTGTGTAAAGAAAAGTAAGTGGTCTTGGGGAGGGAGCACGTAACGGCTAGAAGGGGTTGTTGTTCTTCTCCGATAGTCAAGAATATTGACAGCTGTCAGCCAAGGAACCCAGAATCCACCGAGGAGATGGAGCGATACAATCAGTTGGGTGGTTTATTACATCGCAGGATCTGTTTCTCGAGATGGTGCGGCGGCTTGGGGGGGGAGGCCTTCACCCAGCAGTGGATTGAGCACGGCTGACGATGACGAGGGCCGTTGTGATATTTTAACAATGTCTAATTGTGCGCTTGAATGTCAAATGCTGAATGCAATGCGGACCAGGTTTCGGGGGACGAGTCGGCTGGATTGCCTTTGCAATGTTACAGTGGCGGTTTCTAAAGTTACGTTCGAAGTTTGTGAATTCACCATATGATGGCCAACAACTTCCAACGGATGGTGCAAGAGTTAAAGGCGCAGCCCTGCAATTACTTGCTCACGGCATTTCTGGCCACACTCGAGACGAGCTCTAGAGATTCGCGCTGTGTCTTGCAATCGGCTCTTTAACGTAAACTTTACATCGCAGGCGAAGGAGTTCGGTAAATGTCACACGGTGAAGTCTCTCCAACACATTACGGGGCGACTCAAAAGTTTAATCAAACCTGAGAGTTTTGGGCTCGGGGTGGTGGGGGCAGTGATTCTGAGGCTACAGAGCCAACGTTTTATTTATTTATTACACTTGGTTGCATTTGCAAAGTGCGTGGGCACTTGTGCAAAGTTAGTGTTTACGTCTTTTGTGTCTGTGTATTTGGATATTAAAACAACAAACAAGGTTTGGGTTCAAACTACTTTTGGAGTTGCCGACAGGGACTTTAACCCATCCGTTTGCTTACTCGTTTCCCAACTTCCGGAACGAGATAGTATTCGCTTGTTGTTACGCTTTCTCCAAAAAATCTCACTTTCCCCAGCCTGCCTTCAAGTGTTTTTAAAAGTTGTTCCAAGCGGTGCATCGGCAGTGATGTTGGAAGGCACTCCCGACGAATTGCTGCATACATGAAGGCTGCAATTGCCGCTTGCCTGCTCACAATGCATTGTAAAAAACAGTCACTGCTTGTCATTGCAAATTCCACATTTTTTTGCAAAATGTAAATTTTTGCTTATTTTGGAACCCCAATTGACAGTGAAGACGTAACTTTTCAGGCACGTATTATCATTAATCAGCATCAGCAGCAGCAATGCTCAGTCCACTGCTGGATGAAAGTCAGCCTCTCCAAGCCATCGCTGTCTCTCACGATCCTGCGATTTGATGACCCAGCACCTCGCGCCAACGGAAGAACTGACGACGTCTTCGCTCCATATCATCGATGGACGTTTTTCTCGCAAGACGCACCTCCGATTAGCACGGTTGGCTACGTACGGTGCGAAAGAAGTTCAACATACATACAAAACGCAAACAATTATTTGGCTGCCACTACATTATTATTCTTTACCATTGGTTATGATGTGTCCTGCCCAGCTTATAATTCATACTGCTAAGAAAAGTGTCTATATGGCGGTGTGCATACGTCATTTAAGGTTAGAGCGGTAATTTTTTTGTCATTTCCAGCAAAGCTTGGGTATGGCGAGTGCAATCGAGACTTGTAAACAGGAAGTGTGTGAGTTTCAGTGAAAGACTTTCCAACAGAGACTGCTCTGTCCGACAAACCGAAACTCATGAATCAAATGGGACAAACCCTTAGCCGCTTTCATCACGTATGCCCAGACACACACAAACACGGGCATGCGCGCGTGCGCACGCACACACACACACGTGCTATTTCGGGGCGAGAAGACCACTGCTGTTACTTGGCATCAAGGCCGTAATTATAATATATTTTGGGGGGAACACATCCCCCTCCCAATGTTCAAATATGCTCAAAATGTCCCTCCCAATATATTGTGATACAATTTGTTTTAAAATAATAATTTCTATGCTATGTAAATAAAAACAACAATTTGCTAAACCTTGGCCACAATATCTGGACTTGTCTTCATATAACAATGCATAGATTTCTGTTCATATGATTGTGGTTATGGTTGTACTTTATGAATCCCTAATCTCTGCCATTACATACAATGAAACAAGAAATGGTAAAAAAAAGAAAAAACAGAGCAATGTAATACAATAACACTATTAGACATTATTGTAAAAAATAAATAAAAAGTCCATCCCATGTGTTAGTGAATTTGTAAGGCAGGAAATTAGTTTTCAAATTTAGATTTTTTTTTCTGGGGGGACCCCCAGACCCCCTGGAAGATTTGGTCCCCCCCCCAATGTTGACTCCATGGCTACGGCCTTGCTTGGCATCAAAAATTTTCTGGGCCCCTTTGGAAATTGGCACGTTTCACAAATTGTCACAGAGCCGCAAAATATGGCAAAGGAAGTAAAAGTAATGGTTCTTAATATGTTGTCTTTTCTTGACGTTCTATTGCTGAGTCATTTGTTTCAGAATGTACTTTAGAAGTACAGCTGCTGCGTATTGAAATTACTATCATAAATAGCCTGCGGGGGGAAAAAGAGTTACGCTTGGAGTTATGGTGGAATGTTATCGGGTGTTTGGTTTAGGGATACAGCGAGCCCATTCTCTAGGCAACTCAGAGGCTGCTCCTTAATTTGTCATACCCATTTCTTTGTAGCTCATCCCTCAGCTGAAATATATTGTTTTGAAATGAAAAAAAAAGTCTTTTTGCTTAGCATGGCACATTCGTCCATTGCATGTTGACGATACAGGACATCTTTATAGGTGGTTGTAACAAAACATGTTGAATTGACATTCTGTGAAATAGCTGTGCTACAAATAAACAGATATAACCTGCTGTGTCCATATTCGACGTAAACTTTCCAGTTATTCTTAAATTATGGAGAGGAGCGGTGGGGCAGTGGTTAGCTATGATCCCTGTGAGTACTGTTTCTCATCACGGCTAACATCAGATCAGTCCCAAGTGATATCTCCCTTGGATACTCCATCTGAACGCGCTCACCAGTTGGTGATTCATGGTGATGCATGGTGACACATGGTCAGTCCCCACTGAGTTAGGGACTGAAATTTATTTGAATGATATGCAAATGAGAGCATTTTTCAGCGCTCGTGGATGTAGTGTGGAAGAGAAGGCCAAATAACATCTGGAGGGAATCTCTCTAGCTCCCCCTAGTGGAGGCCTTTCTGCCTCCAGTGGGGTGAGCAGATTGTTGCAGAGCTGTAACTTTACTTTTTAATGCATGTGGTATTATTCAGCAAGAGGCTCTGTAAGATAGCTCTGTTAAGTCTCTTTCAAAGTTGCCTTGAGTTTTCTGAATATTGTTCAACGCTGTGTGCGCATGCTAAAGTCGCTCGGATAGATGGGAGCAGTCCACCTAAATTGAATAATGATAACTAGATTGCCATGTGATGATACAAACTTGCCAAGCTTATCTCATGGGACCTCCTTTGCCAGTGTCAAAATATGAGAATAATGTTTTTGACATGACTTTACCGAAAGAACTAAGAGTAGTATATGCATTGTCTTTGAAACCGATTGGTCCACACCAGAGACAGCTTTCTTTTGAGCCTCGTCTCAAACAGTGTTAGGCCAGATGACGCCAAAAGGCGAACAGCACAAAGACAACGCCACTATCAGGACAATGAGAGATCGGGTGAGCAGCTACATCATGGGACCTCCTTTGCCAGTGTCACCATATAAGAATAGGTTTTCCTATTTTTTCTGGCAACAAAACAGGTGTTAATATGTTAAAACACCAAACTGAAACCTGTTTTGTTGCCAGAAAAAAATTGGAAAACCTCTTCTTATATTGCCATGCTTATGTTTAATCTGTAATCAAAAATTATAATTACAAAAAAACATGGCTTTCAAAAGATCCAATTATGTAATAATTTCATGTATCACATTGTGTGTTGTTCGCGATGACATCAATAATTCATTAATATATGAAGCCACAAATTAATTGCATTTTTGACATTCTTTAACAAACACATTACATAACATGCTGATTTTCCAACAGCCAAATCGCGTGCAATGTGCCCAGTCTGGTCAGATTTTGGAAGCGAAGCAGGCTTGAGCCTGGATAGCGCTTGGATGGGTGACTACCATGAACGTAGGACAGTTGCAGTAGGCATCGTGGGCGGTATGGGCCAGTGCAGCACAATCCATCGTTCTGCACTTCCTCTACGCAAACCCGCACTGACTAGCGTGGTGAAATCTGGTCAAAGATCCTCATGGCTTGCGAGGCATTTGGAGATGATGATTATGAGTTGGACGGCTTCCATAGCACCACGCTGTGAAAAGTGCACCTTAAAATGCACTGTAAAAAATTATGGGGAGGCCCTCATCCAGCAGTGGACTTACAAAACGGAACGTCCATGTGCATGCATCACCGAGTGGTCACTAAAATCTGCATCACGACGCACGTGATTTTTCTCGAATAATCCTCTCCGGTATCGACAGGTTCCTGAATTGGTCCTCCATGAACACTTTCGAGAATCTATATTTCTCTACGTTGAAGCCCGAGCTGAGCTAGCAGCTGTCCCCCCTGGGTGCAGTTGCCTCGCCACACCTCCCCTGACCAGTACTCGGCACGTGAATGATGTTGATGGCGGCGGTGGAGACGAGCCAAGGTGCCAGCCCGTAATGTCCAAGAAAATAATAAAACAAGCTTGCACGCTCCGCCGGTCCACACACACACACACACCACATTGACCTCTGCGTGCGTGTTGTCTCCCCTGTCAGGGAACAATCGTGGATTTTGGGGGAGGGTGGGGGGAAGTGCCTCTGTCGTGAGCCGGACTGAACGGACAGGGCCGAGGGGAGCGAGAAGCGTCGTCTCTCGCCAGGGAGACATCGGAGCTCGTTGTAAACGCCGCTGCAAGAAGTTGCCATGGCGACTGCCGACCAGATGGATGAGGAGACCGTCGGAGATGAGTTCGGTGACCTCATCCGCTCGCGCTGTGGTAAGGCAAACGTCACGTGCAGCAGCAGCTTCGACATCGACAGCAGCAGTAGTATCAGCAGCATCAGGAGCAGCAGGAGTGGCAGATGTAACCATCACAAGGCGTAGAATGTGACACTCGTTATCCTTCCTTATCCACGTTGAGTTTGTAAAATGTTTACAGGCGCAAAACATACGGCGACAGGTTAATATATTGGTGAGTTTCTTTGGCCACCAATTTTTATGAGAATGGACACCACTTAAAAACCATTTAACACAACTCTGCTATGTCTCATCACACGATTGAGTCCCATCAGCTTTCAGGCCAACATTATCCAGCAGAATTAGTTTATATTATTGGTTCTTTAAAGCTTTCCTGACTGCAGGGATTCATATTCTTGGTTCTTTCGGTAATGTCAGGTGATGATGATTGCTCGTGTTGCAGTCGAAACGTCGTGAGAATTTTATTGTTTTATATTTTTATTATTGTATTGTTTCCCTTCTACGTGGTGACTTTACCGAAAGAACCAAGAATATGAATACCTGCAGTCACTAAAGCTTTAATTAAAAAAATAGAATAAGTTTAATCGAGAAAACTCTGGAAAGGTTTCAACTTTGTGGGTGTCATCGGCAGAGTTCAGGCTTATTCCGCAATCTTTTTCAATTCCCACTGTTCACTGCCAAAAAAAAACTCATCGCCAGGAGACGATCAGTCGACGTAGAATTGTATCTTTTCTGTAAAGTTATATTTTAAAAGGAAAAGTGATGCTTTTTAGCCTGACGCCCGGGCAACCAAAGAAACCCGTCAAGCTGAGCAACGGGGTCGGCCTGTAGTAGTGCCTTTGTAGACTTAAGAGTGGAGGGGGCAGGCACGAGGCCCTGCTGAGTGCTCTGTGTTTTCTAACCCAGTGGCTGTGATTACATTCCACTCTCAAAGAAGCGAAACGTGCAGCGCTGCAGGTTGGCCCCTACGCCCATGAGGGCGCAGCCGTGGCCAAACAGAGCAGCCAGGCATGATACCGGCTGTGTGTGCGTGGTTCAGCGGATAGCGCACTGCGATACGAACCTGGCGACCCGGGTATTGTTCTCGCTCACGGTGAACAGTGGCGATTATCTGAATCTGTCCTGGGCCTCCCCTAGGTCGACTCGGCCTCAAATGAGTACCCGGTGTGGTGTGTAAACATCGCCACTGGGGAGACAAAGGCGGCCGGGCATGGTGATGACCACTCACCCCCTCGTGTGCCTTGCCAGCCTAAATTGTTAGAGGCTATATGGTGGGGGGGGATCTTTGTCTTTGATATGGGGAGCGGCTGTTTGATGGTGAGTGCAACCCACTGTGAACATGCCCTTCAAAGTACAATTCCCCAGCACGGCCTGCCATCGGTGGCGATCATTTGACCTGGGCCTCGGCGTCCCGTACGTTGGCTCGGCTTTATAAATGCGTACCTGGTGTGATGTGTAACATCAGCACCTGGGGGGCTAACCGCACCTCGCCCCCCCCCCCCGCACCTTGCGCTCCTCGCTGGCTTTCGCAAGAGAAGGGTTTTTAATATCTCCTTTGGAGTTTGAAGAGTGATAGCGGTGCTAAGGGGTCGTGGAGGGAGTTACTTTCAGAGCGTCTCACAAACGCTGCTTGTGATGTAAATCTATAGCGCATGGAGAAGAACACTGCTGTGCGAATGTCCATTGACACCATGTCGGTCTTTCCTGCTTGAAAGTCTTTGTTGCTGCCCATTGGACAGGATGGGCTTAGAGTTAGCACGTGCCTCCCTATGTGTCCCTGGCTAAACGGCTGGAATTTCAATTCCAGTCACCCATTGCCTTGCAGCATTGTAGAGCTATTAAAAAAATACACTATGCCCTCACTAGAGATAGTGTGTGATGGTTCATTCATTTGTGAATGTAGGACAGCCTTTGTAAGGTACTGGCCCTTGTCAATTTCACGGCCAAATTCCAAAGTATACAAGGTGATGCATTGTCCGAGCAAATGAAAGTGCTTTATAAATGAATGTCAAGAAATGTACCAGTAAATAATAATGGAGTAATGCGTAATACGCAATAATCGCAGGGTTACTGGATCCACAAATAAATTGATAAATATAAGTAGGACATATAATAACAGCACAAGTTGACCCTATTTTAAAATGGGCCCGTCACTCGCTATTCCTTGAACAAAAAAACCTCTTTTCGTGGTGCAACAGGTGGAAAGAGACATTAATCAGATCAAAGTGTAAAACTGGCAGGAATTCTTGCCAGAATAAAGTCTCCCAAAATGTTTATAAACCATTTGGTAATAATAATAAAATTTGAATAGAGGCACACGGATGACAAAATCCCAACGTAGATTCGGATACTTTTGCAGCAATGGGTAAATAATGCAATTATGTAAAAGCTCAGAGAGCCCCACTGCTGAAAGGCAGGGGTCCGCATGACTAATGCTGCTATATTAGTCCGCATGGGCGTGTCTCGCACGATGAGCCTTGTCGGAGCAGCAGAGCACACTTCCACGAGCCGTCTGCTTCACTCAAACCCTTCTATGCGCGCGTGTGTGCGTGTGCGCGTGTGTGTGTGCATGTGTGCGCGTGTGGGGAGCGATAGTGTAGCGGTTAGCGCGCTGTGCTATGAACCTGGCGACCCGGGTTCGATTCCCGCTCACGGCCAACACCAGTGACGATTATCTGAACCGGTCCCGGGCCTCCCCTAGGTCTACTCAGCCTTAAATGAGTACCTGGTGCGGTGTGTAAACATTGCCACTAGGGAGACAAAGGCGGTCGGGCGTGGTGCTGGCCACCCACCCCCTCGTGTACCGTTCCGGCCTTCATAGGTGCTCGCTAACAGCACTTGCCCCTACAGTCTGTTAAGGCTATATGGGGGATCTTTTTTTTGTGCGCATGTGTGCACGTGCGTGCGTGCGTGTGTACGCTGGCATGGTGCACTGCGCCGCGGACCGGGCATCGACTGTGTTTCTGAGTGCCGGCCACGGCTAACGTCAGTGGCGTAATTAATAAATCCGTCGTGGATCTCCTCCACGGTGAACTCTGCCTTTAAACGAGTAGCAAGTGCAGCACTTTAGTACCTTGCACCAATCAGATGAGTTGGCCATACTTGTGGCTTGACAGATGATACAAATGAACCACAATACTACGCTGATCCCGTCAAGGAGCGTAAACCATCATCACATGAACTCTGGTCATCCTCGTAGCAGCAGCGGCTTTTGGCTGGCCATCGAACAAAGACTGTCACCGCATCGCGCTGCACTTTCAGATGTGCTTCTGCGACCGTCTGGAACACACTTCCTTACGTTATTCGTAAGCCACTGGGAGCTATGCACTTTTCAATCTACATTGAAAGCGAATTTCTTGAACTGCTTTGTGTTTAGTTTGTTGTTCTTCCCCTACACCTCCAATTAGCACGATTGGCTACATACGGTGCGAAAGAAATTCAACATACATGCAGGCATAATGATGCTCTTTTATCCCAGAAAGCCTCATTGAATCGCACTACTTTTTTTTCATCCGAAGGGCCCTGCACTGAGACATTTGACAAATATAAACATCTCCACTGGAGACACGAAGGCAATCGGGCGTTGTGCCGTGGCAAGACCAGTCCTCGTGTGCCGTGCTGGCCTTTTTAATAGGTGCTCACTGACAGCTCTTGCACACCCCCCGCCCACCCCCCAACGGCCTGCCTTAGGCTACGTGGGGCAGTCTTTATCTTAGTCTCTGCCGCACAATTGCGCATGTGCGCATGCGGTGGCAGTAATTTACGGGGAGTCGGCTGCCTTGTCGGAATGGGCTGGGGTTGGCACCTCCACATATAGAACGGAATGAGAGATTCAGCACTCCTGCTGAAGCCTCCAAGGGGTTGAGGGTGGGAGTGTGAGGGTTTAGGGGGAAACGCGGGGGGTGTCTCCTGGAATATCTCCTCCCGCCTGCCACCCCCACTGTCTCCCAGTAGGGATTCGTTACGGATCTGCTATGAGGCCGCTTCCCCGGCCTGTCTATATTACACGCATTAATTTTCTATACTCGACACTCAATTATCCGTTTGTACCTGCACATTTCCCCGTACCACTGCGGCGTACACATCAAGTGGCGTAAGCTTAATTATGTTTTGCGCTTTATATCAGAAATGCTACGTGTTTTTTTAGCAGTGTTTGACACGAAGGGTATACATTGTCATGTTGTGCTAATTAATCAGCCTGTGGTGTTCTTTTGGAGTGGAATTTGTTACCACCAGTGTCTGGACTGGCAGAGTGTTTGTATGTGTCCTGGTTTAGCAAACCAAGATTACATTTTACTTGTCCGTTATTCATACTGGCAGTTGCTTGCTCTCTTTAAATACCACACACACCACTACAGTTGTAAATAAACATTCAGTCAATGCCGCACGCTGGCAGAGAGCTTGCATGGTAACAGGATATCTAATATAATCTTCAAGATCAGATTTGGCATAGAATGGTTATGAACTGGCTAGTGAATATATCACGCTTCTAATTTAACATCACACATGACTTCACCGCACGTCAAACTCCAGTGATGTTACAATTCATGACCACGGATGTGTGTGGGCTGATTCATAATTTCACTGATGTGCATTTGACCAGTGTGTTGCTCGGGCAGGATGCCAGTGACAACAGTATTTTATGTGTGGCCACAATTTCTGACCCCATGAGCTGCATACCAATATATTCATACCACAAAACTCTGAAGCGGGTCACATGGGGAGGCCACGTGAGGTGGCGATGCGGCTGGTTCACTCATGCTGATTGACTGTGGAGTTTTGAAATTATAAATCTGTGGGAGTGCCCCAGGGGTAGTACTCTTGTCTGGTTATCATTGCCAGGGTAGAGTGCCCCAGGCCGCTTCTCGCTTCCGCGGATTTTTCCCTGTTTCAAATCAAGTTTTTAAAAAAATAAAAAAAATCAGCTGGTCTCTATTAAGCGGCACTTGAACTGTCTGGGAGCAGAGTGCAGCTGGCAAGCTGCGGTTTTATCCGTCCCTGCTCCACAGTATTTAACAG